TGACCCTGCTGATACCACACTGAGCCTCAGCAGGGGACAGAGCTGGTGCAAACACAATGGGACACTCAGGAGCTGGAAAATGATTCCCAAAACTTCCAAGTCAGCCCTGAAAAGGCTCTCCTGCTCCTAACATGTACTGGAGTGTGTCCTGCAGCCCTGCCGAGGTGTGCCCAGAGCTGAGATATGATGTGAGACCCTCAGGAGAGGGAGGACTGGTGCGCAAGCCTGCACTGTCTCCCCTCTGTCTGTGTTGGGAAGATCAGAGAATTCTGGAATGGTTTGGGTTGGAAGGATATTAAAGATTATCCTGTTCCACTCCCTGCCATGGGCAGGGACACCTTCCACTAGCCCAGGATGCTCCAAGCCTCATCCAACCTGGCTTGGAACACTTGCAGGGGGGGGCAGCCACAGCTGCTCTGGGAATTCCATTCCAGCCCCTCACCACGCTCACAGGGAAGAATTCCTTCCCAATCTCCCATCTAGCCCTGCCCTCTCAGTGTGAATCCATTCTGTGTGTCCTATCCCTACAGGCCCTTGTCCCAAATCCCTCTGCAGCTCTCTTGGAGCCTCTTTAGGCACTGGAAGGAGCTCTGAGGTCTCCCTGAAGCCTTCTCTTCCCCAGGCTGAAGACCCCCAGCTCTCCCAGCCTTTCCTCATTGCTAAAGAGCAGGGAAAGGAATCCAGAAGCTTCCATGATCACACACGAGAGGGACACACTCCTCACTCTGGTTAAAAACAAGGAAGAAATGGGCCATTCTAAGGAGCTCCTGGGACAAGAGCAGGGCAGGAACTCCCTGCCTGAGCACTGAGCACTCACCAGTCATCCCCCACATTGAAGGCATTGAGGCTCTTGGTGAAGCCCTGCATGTTGTTGGGACTCACTCTCTGCAGAAAGTCGATGTAGTCCTCGGAGTGGAAGCGGCACATGTCATGCTGGGAGGCCTGGTAGGGCTTGAAAACCTTCCAGAGAGAAAGACATTTATTTCCAATCCAAAATCCCATGGAAGAAACCTCCAGCTAATAAGTGATCTGCAGGAGGTATATATGAAACATGTTCCAACACTGACTTCCTGCCATTTGTGTTCAGCTAAATTCAAGGTTTCATGGAGCAACTTGTTCTTTCCTGCCTGTTTTTCTCTTTCACCCATAAATCCATGTCCTGACTCTCCTCACTGCAGCTCTCTGATGCCTTTTTTCCCCCTCACAGGACACACATCCTCCTTGGGAAGGTAGGCAATAAACCAGTCAAGTCCCCTATTTCCTCTCTGGGAGGACAATTCTCCTCACTCACCACCTGTCACTCAATTTAAGACCTTTATCTAGGGGTGGTTTTACTCCCTGTGCCAGATGTGCCTGGAATGGGCCTATATGGTCTAAATGATCTGGAGAAAGCTCCTAGACAGAGGAAGAGTTGTCTGAGTTCTGTTTCCTTTGGGAAGGAAAATGCTCTAACGTGGATAGACTCAACTTCAGGATCTTGTGACACTTGAGCCTTGGCAGTTTGGCACTTAGGGCACTGAGCAGAGCACAGTGGCGTTAAACATTAACACTACATACCTGGGAGAGGGAACTAAATGGAGAAGATATTGTGTTTCCCAATTCCTCTTCATTAAAGCAACACTTGATAGAACAAGTGGAACATGAACATAGCAGCAGCTGGTGTCCAAAGGCAAACTTATCGGGACAACTTCACCAACATCCCTGTTTCCTGGGCTGAGCAGGAAACCTGTTATTTTCAGAGCCAGAGTAAACCTAACACACAATCATCTTCTCTCCTGGTGTTTTCCACATGGAGGCATGGGTTTGGTGTTAGAGGTTACTGTGAGGGGGAAGGCAGGAGCTATTCCTTCAGGTGGGCTCTGCAAAGGCACCTCCAGGTTGCTCCAAGCCTCATCCAACCTGGCCTGGAACACCCCCAGGGATGAGGCATGGGATACAGGAGCACAAGGGGAAGAAAGGAGAATGTCCTCCATCCCTAGCAGCTCAGAGCACTGATAGTTTCTGCCCTTCCTTCTCCTCCTTTCCCGATCTGCCACCTACACACAGTGGTGGCTGTGGTAGAGGCTCTGAAGCTCCTTAACAGGGCAGTTCCCATGGGAATACACACATCCATGTGTGTATCCCATGTTTGTATATCCATAAATCCATACAGAGAAAATCCAGAGGTGCCCGGAGTTGTGGGCTCCAATGTTTCCAGCATTCCAGGCACAAGCCCTTCCCCATGGCACAACAAAGGGATCACACATTGTGAGGACAATGGGATCAGCTACACTCAAACTCTAGATCAGATAACCCAACTAGGACTGTGCCAGGCAGGAATTAAATCCTTCAGTGATCCAAACCAGTAATCCCAACCCACCCAAAATGGAAATCAGAACACAAAACAAGTCACCCCAAACCCATGAGCAGCTGCAGGTGGCACATTCTGCACCTCAAAAGGGGCAGAAGGGTAAAAGAGCTTTACTGTTCTCTGCCCAGAGAAGGTCTGGCTCTGCTCCATCCTTGGAAGTGTTCCAGGCCAGGCTAGACAGGGCTTGGAACAACCTGGGCTGGTAGAAGGTGCCCCTGCCCAGGGCAGAGGGCGGGATAGGATGAGATTTGAGGTTTTTCCAACCCAAACCAGTGGTTCCATTCCTGCCTTAATTGTGTATCCTGAGGCATTAATCCTCCTGCCCTGTATTCCTCAGAGCTTCTCCTTTGCTCTGTGCTGTGAGAAGGGGCAGGAAAGTGCATAAGGATTCTCTAAAAAGGAGCACAGCTCATCCCACTGCAACCAGGAGAAACAGAACACATCCAAAGTGGGGACCAGACATGCATAGTGATATTCCCTTATCCCAAACTCATTTCAATTCCCAAAAGAGGGATATTGAAGTTTTCTTTTTGATGATCCCTCAGGTTGTAGCAGCTCTACACAGGTCAGATTTATGGGAGATAAAATCTTTCCAACAGTCAGAACTGGAGAGCACTGGGCTGTGAGGGGCAGGGGGGACAAACATGGATCAGGGATGAGATGGGATTAGTGAACCCTGTTGGGGCATCAAAGAGAGTTGGGAAGCCTTTGGGGGCTTGTTTATACTTCTACTGTCCCACAATGACATGGGCCACAGTGCTCATGGAACAGCTTGGGTTGGAATGGACCTTAAAGCTCATCCAGTTCCACACCCTGCCAACAGCATGGACATCTCCCACCAGACCAGGTTGCTCCAAGCCCCGTCCAACCTGGCCTGGAACACTCCCAGGGATGGAGCAGCCACAGCTGCCTCACCACACTCAGAGGAAGGAATTCCTTCCCAATATCCCATCTGTCCCTGCCCTCTGGCAGTGGAAAGTCATTCCCTGTACACTGTCCCTCCAGGCTCTTGTCCCAAGTCCCTCTCCAGCTCTTTTGGAGCCCCTTTAGGCACTGGAAGGGCCTCTAAAGTCTCCCTGGATCTTCTTTTCTCCAGGCTGAACAATCCCAACCCCAGAGGTCAATCTTAGCAGGCACAGAATTGCCACACTGGGTGCCAGGGTCACAACTGCAGCCCCACATACACCTCTGCCACACAGCTGTGACCAAGACAGCGACCAACAACAACGAGGACCTTCAAACCAGCCCTAGGGAACAATGGGAACACTTGAGGCTGCTCCAAGCCTGGTCTGCACCCACCCTGCACCCTGCAGGGGCTGAGAAAGAGACACAAAGAAGCTGTGAAGAACCTACTGAGAGGGGCCAAATATCAATACAGAGCCCAGGAGTGCATAGCATATCATGCGGCAACTCTCCCACCTGCTCAAACACCCATTGTGCTGCTTTCCTGCCCCCAAACCCCCTG